CTTTTCTTAAAATTATAGTATGACTACCTATATATTCCCTTCTTTTGTAGGGGTGGTTTCTCCCTAAATAAATATATTTTTAGTTTCTATCACTTAAATAGAATGGCAGTTATAACTCTATTTCTAATGTTCTTTTAATGCCAACTCTGGAATTTTTTTTTTTTTTTACAAAGAAAAAAGTGTCGAAATATTCCTTGTGGTTTTTCATTCTGAGCCCAGAAAAGAAGCAAAAACCTATGAAAGAAGCTTATAAAAGATATAGACATTCATCCAATACCTGTCATTTGTTTGTTCCTGACTTAACATTTGATTTTCATTGCAATGAGCTAACTTTGATAGGTGCTTGGAATAAGGTGGATATTTTTTATCAGACCTTTAAGAAATAAATAGGAATAGGTAGAAATGAACAAGTCGGAAAAGGGAAGGGAATAGCATGACCACAAGCACAGAAGTTTGAAAGGCACTTCTACATTTGGAGTGTAAGATAGATCTGGAAAAATGGCAAAAGGTGAAGCTAGAAAGTTGGGGCTAGCTGTTTAAGTGCCTATGTATTGTACTAAGTAGTTTAGATTTTATTCTATGGCCAGTAGAGAGCCACTTAAGTTAAATAGTTAGAAAGTTTTAGATAATTAGTTCCAGTAGAAGGAGGATAGATTGAATGGAGAAGAAAATTAAGATAAAGGACTGCTTAAGAAGTTAGTGAAATACTTTAGGAAAGAAATGATGGAAAACTTATGTAAGGCAGTTGTATTTAGGATGAAAAGAATAGATGTGAGAGAGAATTTATTGGTAGAATATGAAAGATCTTCATGTAAAATTTAGCAATTCTCTGTGCATTTTTGAATTCTTAAAAATCTCAACCTTGTTTAAAGGAGACGCTTAGATAGAGTTGACTGCAATTTATAGAATGGTAGCATGAAGAGATCCACAGAACCTGTCACCAGCAAAATAATCATAAGTAGTGAAAAAAATTTTTTTAGAAGAACAACCATTTAAATTCACTGGAAATTGTCCTAAGGACATAGATAGAGCAAGTAGAAAATCATTTATTCAAGAACATCTAAATTTTGGTAAAAGCAGCGAGAAAGTGTGGTATTTGGGCCCTTCTCCACCCCAAATACACCATGACAGAAGCAATACTCAAGGTGGATGCGGACAAGAGTACAAACATCCATCTCCCCCAGATCCCATTTTAGGGCTATGAGATCTTACTGAGAGAGGTAGGTTGCCAGCATTTTCCCCAACTCTGTGTTGCAGAAGCTGTAATCTAGCCAAGAATAACTAAGTGGTCTGAAACTCCCTTCCTAGCCCCCAGTCCCACTCATAGAGTAGAAGTTTAACCCCATGTAGAACAGGCATGAAATACTAGTCCTGGCCCAACTTGCTAGTAGCATTGGGTGGAGAGTCAGGCCATAAGAACAGAAAGCTCCATTGCTGCCCTTCTGAAGAGAACTGACATTATTTGGAACATAGTGTGGAAAAGTTCAAGCCTAAGGGCACTCACAAAAAACAGGAGATTTTGGCTCGAAGAAATTAAGAGGAGGCTGATTGCTCAATAAGAGCAGGAAGCTAGCCCTGGCAGTACTTCTGGAAGGGGTTAGCTGTCAGGCACCCCAGGGTCAGAGCAGGAGCCCTACCACAAAGCCTGGAGGGCCCTGGCCGGGTAGCTCAGTTGGTTAGTACATCGTCCCTATACACCAAGGTTGTGGGTTCAATCCCTGTCAGGCACATACAAGAATCAACCAATGAATGCATAAACAAGTGGAACAACTAATTGATATTTCTCTGTTTCTGTCTTTCCCTCCTCCCCCTTTACTCTCTAAAACCAATAAATTTTTTAAAAGGCAACAAGCTAACCCATAGACTATCTAGAAGTTGTAACAGAGAACCAAGGAAAGGATCAGCCAAAAATAGCCTTTCCTAGGGCCAGAAGAAGTATCAAAGCTGGGCCTCAAAGATCACCTGAAATGGCGCCTGAATTTAATTAGATGAGACTGTAGAGCAATTTATGCCTCAGGGCACTATAAGATTTAGTAGAGCAGTCAGCTGGTAATTAGGGGAGATAAACAACTGGGTATACCAGCAGAGGCAGCCACTTAACAGATCAGGAAAAGAGACAGTTGCTAAAACTAAAACTTCTGTCTTCATGGGGTGACAGTGTGCATTCACAAGTCTGCATACTCCTCTGAGGAATAACATCAGAGGCTGCATACTGTGGAGAAAACAGATTTCACTGAAGTTGTCCAGCCAAGTCACTAACAAGTAAACAAGTAAAGAAAAGAAATCCCCATGAAGGAGAGGGTATCAATATCTATAGAGTTCCTATAACATTATCTACAATATCCAGTTTTCAAAAATTTATGAGACATGCAGAGAAACAGGAAACTCTGAGCCAACACAAGAAAAAAAAGCAGGTAACAGAAACTGTTACCTTGGAGAGAAAGAGTATGTTGAACTTAGGAGACAAAGATTTCTAAGCAGTTACTATAAAAATGTCCAGTAATCTAAAGGATACCATGCTTAAAGAAGTAGAGAGTGTATGATAAAAGTATTTCATTAAATAGTGAATATCAATAAAGAGATAAAATGAACCAAAATGAAATTATAGAGTTGAAAAGTATAACTGAAATAAAAAATTCACTCTAGTATCTTAACAGATTTGAGCTGGCAGAAAAAAGAATTAGCACACTTGAACATAGATCAACAGAGATTATTCAGTCTGAAGAACAGAGAAAAAATAATAAAGAAAAAGTAACTGAGCCCCAGAGATAGGTAGGGCACCATTTAGAACACCAACTAATGTGTAGAGAGTACTACAAGGAGAGTAAGGAACAGAAAATATATTCAAATAAATAATAGTTGAAAATGTCCCAAATTTGATGAAAAACTTAATCTATACATCTGAGAAGCTTGATAATTTCCATGTAGGAAAAACAGAGATAAGCACCCTTCATAGTGAAAATGTTAAAAACCAAAAAGAAACGGGACATCTCAAGAGCAATATGAGAAAAAGTGAGTTGTCATGAACAAGGAAAATCAAATAAGATTGTCAGCTGACTTCTCTTCAGAAAAAAAATGGAGGCCAGCAGGCAGTGGAGTGATGTATTCAAAGGACTGAAAAAAAGGACTGTCAACCAAGAATCTTATATCCAGCAAAACTATCTTTAAAAAATAAAGTGAAATAAAAGCATTCTTGGATAGACAAAAACAGAATTTGTTGCTAGTGAAACTACTTTACAAGAAATGCGAAAAGATTTTTTTTTGTTGGACTTTAAAATTTTTTTTTCTTTCAATTACGTTCAATATTATTTTGTATTAGTTTCAGGTGTACAGCATAGTGGTTAGATAATCATAAACTTTACAAAGTGTTGCCCTCATATTTCCAGTACCCACCTGGCACCATACATAGATATT